TGGCGCGCAGGACCCCGCGAGCCAATTTGCAGCCCTCGGAGGTGAAGTTGTCGTCGCCATGTCATGTAGCCGGAGTCGGCAACGGGCCCCAGGTGGCGAACTGCGAGGTTCATTGCCCCATCGCGACGACTTCCCGCGACGGCGCGAACAGTCAGCGCAGCATGCGCGCCCCCGCCGCGGGGGGGCGCAGGCGCTGACCTCCCTGTCCTGTTGGATCTGCATCTGCGCCCCCCGCGGTCCATCGGGGCGGTGGAGACAGGCGCGGACCGGATCACGTGGGTCCCTGACGCCATCCACTTCAACCCTACGTCGCCGCCGAGCGGCCGCGTGTGCGCCCCCGTCGACGACTGCGACAAGCACAAGCCGCACTCTGGGGGCCTGTCGCCCAAGCAACTCGCGTTGCTGGCGGTGCGCAGCGACGACCAGGGCCCCGGCGCCACCGACTGCCGCGAGTGCCAGAAGTTCAAGGCCCAGCTCCCCCAACGCACGGGCACCCTCGTGGGGCGCGCCCAGGGCCGCGGGCTACGACCTCCACGCGTGCGCGGACGTCAGCATCGCGACTTGCGTTTGTGAGCCCGTGTCGACGGGCCTGGCGGCGCTGCCGCCGCAGGGCACCAACCTGCGCGTCGCCCCCCGTTCAGGACACGCCCTCAGAGGAATCGACATCGTGGGCGGCGTGGCGGACCCCGACTTCGCGACGAGATCGAGGGGATCGTGTCCTACGAAGTGCCGTGGGCGTACTTGGTCGAGCAGGGCCATCGCATTGCCCGAAATTTCCTGGATCGCATTGCCAGCGACGCCGAGATCTATGTCGTTCTCGACTTTCCCTCGACTTTTCTCGGATACAGGCTTTGGACGCGCAGACTCCACGGTGGCGTGCCCTATAGAGCGCGGCTGCGCGTCCGCGAAGTCTCCCGGTGACTGCGTCACCAAAGGCTCCAAGGAGCTGTCTCGCAAAAATGTGGCCAGGCCGGCCCGCCAGGCTCGCCCTGCTGAGCTGCCCCGGCAGAATGGGCCGCCGCCCCGGGGCGCCCCGCCGGGGTCTCAGAACGAGGACTGGGCACAACACTAGCACTGCAAGTTCGCGGAAATGACGTCGTCCGCATCCCCCATTGCGAGGGTGCTATCCAGACGTTTTCTGACAGCGCGCTCCCCAGCCCCAACTGCAGCATGTTGTGGATTACTCGCGACAGGAACAGGGCCTACGTCAACCGCTTCCTCAATCCACCCCCTATCTGGCGCGCCGGGGCCAAGGGTGCCAGCGCGGGGCCGGCGTGGCCAGCAGCGGCGACGACCCGCGGCGCGGTAGATGATTGACTCCCGCCTGCCCCACTCCAGCGCGCATCGGCCAAGTGCGACAGCGCTGCCTTCGTGGAGCTTACCGGGGCGCCCATCAACGACCAGCCGTGCTGGCGCGACATCAAGCTAGAGGAGCACATCGACGACTGGGCGATCGCCAGCCGACGCGTGTACTTGGCTTTGATGTGCCGCGATCTCGCGCGACTTGCGACGAACCTATTGGTCAGCAAATCTCGCTGCACTACCTGAGGCGCATCTATAGTAAGGTGCATTTCCAACGAAGCACAGCGGCCGCTTGCTCGCCAATCTCGAACACGTTCTCCTGTTCAACTGGCAGCCGCAAGTACCGCGAGCTTGGCGCCTGGGACCAGGTGCACCACGATCGCGCGCGCCATCCTTACAGGTGAAGTGAACGAACCACCGCGGGAGGAATCTGGCGACTGCGTCGCCAGTGCTTACCCCGCAGCAGAGCGCATGCGCCGGACAGCGAGGATAATAGAGGGCCGCGTGCCCACCGCGCGTAAGCAGGTCGAAGAGGACCATTACGACGACTGTGGCACCGATCTCGCAGGTGTGGACCCGTGTCTTCTGTGCGCCCCAGCAATGGGCGAGCCGTGTCAACGCGACGAGTGCGACGACGACGTCCAGGGCAGCCTCGCCTCAGGCATGCCCACCCAGTGTTTCCAGGGGTCGGCGGCCCTGGCATCGGATCGCCATTCGTCGGCGAGTGCTCAAACGACCCGGCCATCCAAGTTCGACGACGCCCACCAGCTCCCCGCGCTCGACTACGGAGCCGGCGTCGTGGAGGTATGCGGTTGGGTGGCGCAGACCAGCAGACTGGCCATCCGCCGCCGCCTCAGGGCTGGCGAGAACTAGCCCTGCAACGCATGATCGAAGCCACATCGATTGCGCGCGTCAGCCGCGCAGTGAGGGCCCGCGCCGCCGAGTCTGGGGAGGGCCGCTTCGACGTGGGCGGCCAGGTGGAGAATCCCGGGCTTCCAAGCACCAGGAATGTGTCAGGCTGGGCGGGCCCTGGGAGAGTCATGACTGTTGGTCCGGCTCGAGGCAAAGTGACGGTCGAGTGCCGCCGAGCCGAGATGGTCTGCAGATTGCAGGCCGCCCTGTCTTCGACAAGATGGGCATCGGCACGGCGCGCGAGCGGGCTCGGCCCGGGACCGCGTTGATGATTACTTGGGGCGCGTGGCGCCAGGCTCTGGGGCCAGGACCGTCAGCCGCTGTGTTGACGCGAAGGGCGTGCAGCTCACCGATGAGGCACGACGACGCTCAGACGCCCTCGAATCCCTGGGCCACTTGTCCCGCATATGCTACCAGTTGCCAGACGTTCGCGCTGCGCGACTCATTCGCGGACAGGAATCTGTGGGCAATTGGCCAGGCTGCTCCCACAGCCCGGCCATGTTGCGGACCCTTCGGAACCCCGCCGACGTCCGGCATGTCCACTTCAAAGGCGTCGCGTTCGACGCCCACCAGCTAGTCGGCGAGCGCTGGGAGGAAGCTCGTATCATTCAGTTTCTCTCTGGTGATGAGCCGTTAATTGTGACATGGCTTGGGCGGAGCGTTCGATGCTTGTGCCGTCGACGATGCCGAGTCGCCGCCAGCGCCGCTGAGGGTGGATCACCGCTTGTCGGCTATGTCAGAGGAGACCGGCGGCGGCTTCTCCTGCCGCATCCAACAGGTGATGTTGTCAGTTTGGCGCGAAGTCGAGGGGGCGGGGGATCTGGCCCAGGAGCTGGGGAAGTTGGAGAGCGCTGGCAGCTAGCGCCAGCGCGAGATCTCCGCTGCTGCCGATCACGCCGCGGCAGACCTAGGCCGCAAGATACGTGAGTGTCCGCAGCGCCTCGAGACAAAGCGCCAGCGTTAGAGCATCCACGCGCAGTGCCACTGCTACTTGTGCGGGGCCTCTATTCTGCGACTGCGCCGCGCCAGTGGAGGAGAGCTACGACCGTAGTTGCGTGAAACGATTTGCGTCTTGCTCCAGGGATGCGGGGGGCAGTCCTGGCGCGACGTCTGGCAGTTGTTCTGTCGGCGTCTCGGAGTTAGTGAGCACGTTGTCCAAGCGTGTTGACGATCAGAAGAGTGCTGGGCAAAATGAGCACGTCGACTGGCTGGCCAGCCGCGTCGAGAGCGTCGTCGGCAAGATGAATGGTGCCTGCGAAGACTCCACCAACTGCGGAGTGCACCAGCACCGCAGTGCCGATGGAACTCCGATGCTCGACCAGGTCGAGTATGTCGACGCTCTGATACCGATCAGGCACGGCGACCTGGCCAAGGCCAAGCGAGGCTGACGAGCCGGCCAGAGGTCAGTTTCGCCCTGCTCGCTCAGCACCACGTCGCAGCGCACATCGTCACCCTGCAGAGAACAATATCGCGTTGCTCAGCGGACGCGCGGTGCAGTTCAACTCCGTTGCCCTGGCCTCGCCTGAGATCAACGCGCACATCGCATTTCCAAGAACGTATTGCGCCGCGCGACTCAGCGCGCGCTGCGTCGGGTCTGTCAAGAGGGAGGAGAAGTCAGGATGCGGCGTGGGTGGGGTTGGGGGGAGGGGGCGTGCACATGCGTTTCGGCACGTGCCGCCGCTCCAGCAAGCAGGCGTGCCACCTGCCGGACGCTGTGAGCCGATCGCACCAGCTTGTGTGCAGATGGAGCATGCGGCGCAGCAGACTGGCTGCAGGCGCACCTCCCCGCGCTGCGCGAGATGGCGCATGGCTCCGCTTCTGCCGAGGAGATCAGGAGGCTGCGGGGGGGGGCGGGGGGGCGCGATTCCAGCGGGCCCCGTCATAGACGGCATGCCTCTTTTTCAACGCCCTGCTCATGGACCCGTTTCGGCCACAGTCCAGGAACAGCATGGCTGGCCACCTGTGGTGTTTAACCGACCTGCTTTGAACCGGGCAGATCGACGATTTGCATGGTTGCGACACTCGAGACACGTGGGCCGACCCCATGACCAAAGGCAGCATGGGTCGAGAGGTACTCAGCGTGATGGACGGCATATCAGCTATGACCACGCCACGGTCACGCTCAGCGACGAGAGGCGGAAGAAGGCCGTCCCGAGTTCACAGCATAGTTCAGTCACGCCGAGAGGAGACGACCCATAGTGACTGTGTCACGAGGCCACGCGGAGTCGGAAACCGGATTTACGCAACCAGCGTGCGTGATCGACGAGGTGAACGCTGAAGTGAATGTGCTCTCGCGGACTGTGTCCGTGCAGTTCGCGGTTCTGTAGCAGTGGCTTTTCTCATATTCTCGCATTGCTGTTTTTTGGGGAATTTAGCCTGCTCTGACTAGTCTCAGGAACCCGGTACGGAATAGTTTTGGCCCCGCCGTTGGCGCCGTAAAAGCTTCCTGCGGTTGGCGCGACGGGGGGCTAAATTGCATTTTGGGGCGAACTGAAGTCTGACAATTCCGAGACATGTTGGAGCCAGGCATTTGTTTGGAAAGGGCCAGTTCGTAGAGCCTTCCTTTGCACGGTCATGCCGGATGCGCGACGGACGGGCTTGAGCACCAGACTCGAACGCTAGCTCATTTGTCATTGTTGTCGCGGTCTCCCGTTGCCGATGCTTATTTGGCTCTGGGGCACGGAAGCTGGCAAAGCTTCTGTACCCGCTTCGGACGCGCTTTCAGCGCGTAACTGTTACGACGTAGCTGCACCTTCCGCTTGCCCCGCCTCCCCCGTTTCCCGGAGGTGCGGTCCCAGTACCAGGAGGAGCTGGCCGCAGCGGCCCGCCTGCGCGACGAGGTGCAG